AGTCGAACGGTGGGACGGACGTGCAGTTCAGTTTTTGGGCACGCATACGGTGCTGCAGGGATTTTTAGGTGTACCTCTTCGGGCTCTTGCATACCTTTTTCTCGTCAGATGTGTGCGTGTTCTTTAGATCCTCAGATGGCTCTAGCACTTTCGTGACCACGGGCTGAGAGTCTTTTGCTAGATTTTGGCATTTAGCAACTGACATACGGTTTAATGTGAAGACAAACAACAACAACATGCGTATCTCATGGATTCAACAAGCAGCGGTGCTAGCCGAGATAAGACAGCGGCACCACGAAACGCCTTCGGGAAACCCTACCGTACCGCATGTGTTTTATTTCTCTTCACGTTGCGTGCACGCCGGGACGTGGCTGTGGGTTCATCTGTTCCTCTTGTGGGGACGACAAGGCTGACGTACTTTGCCCCCCCAGCTCAACAATTGACGACGCCAGCTGCGACACCAATCGCAGGTCAAGCATGTCTGTACCTAAAGCACAGAGACTATTAGCACGGAAATACCCAAACGTGTTCCTCCAACATCCTCTCAAGGGTGCTGAATCCAATGCCGCCTACGCCTATACACATCAAAACGATCCATCTTTACAAGCTTTGCCCTCAAATCCCGCGGGCTACAGCAGACCCCAAGACTCTTCAAGAGAACACTACATGCAATAAAATAAAACCCCTCCCCACTGGCCCCGCGGGGTGACAAATCTCACTCACTACAACTTGCCGACGAAGGGCCTAAGTGCTTCCCCCCAACGCTTCCACAAGAGCCGGGGAGCACGCTTGTATTTGCCCCTCGCGGCGGCTTGCTCGGATACCGCTGCCCACACGAAAACACCCTCAATAGCATTATTTACATGCCTTATCGTCGAGGTGTTCGTCCATAGAAAACCCCTCTTGCTCAGGTCGTCCAGGCCGTCATTAAGTCCCTGCTCCCTAGACACGTGTCCACACATACCCGAGCCAAAGGAGCCTCGCCAGCTCTATTGAGACGACATGGATAGACGCTGCCGCCACGTTACAACCCCCCTCCCCCCCTTGTCCCGTGACAATCCGGCGTGCGTGCTCCGTCCCAGCTACGTAGAGATGCGAGGTCAATGGCCTACGCCATCCACTACTATGATTACCCTCCCTCCGCCAAAAGCGCTTATTCTTACGCAACACTTGACACCCTGGCCAGCTCAGCCCCCGCTCCCCCAGTACCGGGAGATCGCCGAGAGGCTCCCAACGGCCTTGCCCAACGCGGCCTCTGCCTCCTCGTCGCTCTCGCAGCCGTCCGACTTGAGCCACTGTACGATCAGCGGCTTCCTCGCCATGCCCCTCGCGTCTCGAAGGGTCACCAGGGGGTCCACCTTCTTGCCCTTGGTCGCCCTCCCCTTCCCCTTCCCTTTGACCTTGCTAGCTGAACCGCCGTCGCCGCCGGTGGTGGTGCTGGTGCCCGTAGCGGGGGCGGCGACTAGCAGCGCGGGGTCCTCCAGAGCCGGCGCAGTGCGGCCGCCGCCGCCGCTGCTTCGGCGCCGCTTGCCGAACTCGTTCTTCTTCTTGCTGCTGCTGCTGCTGCTGCTGCTGGTGGCGGTGTTGCTGGGCTTGTTAATCGCCGCTGACCGGTTTGCTCGCTCACGAGCCGCCGCCGCCGCGGCGGCGGCGGCCTTCTTTTTCTTCTTCTTGGCGTTTGCAGCGCTCTCCCATAGATCGACCGCGTCGAGAAGGCGCGTGGGCACCCCGGCAACGGCATCCGCCGAAACAGAGGCACCCGCTCGAGTATCGATGATGGTGATGTCGACGGTGTCCGTCATCCGACAAGCCCGGCTTTCGCGGTGCTCGTTGGCGCCGTCAGGTTTTCCGTCGCTATTGTCCTCCGAGTCAGACGGCGCGACGCCTCCCGCGTCCACCGTCGGAGCCGGAGCAGGCGCGGGCGCATCGGTGAGGTCCACCACGGTGATCGGGCGGTGTTCGTCCCCGACGGCGTCGAAAGCAACGACAAGGTTTTCTCCCGGAAGCGCGCCGGGCGTCTCCCGCCGGGGGAGTTCCGCCGGGGACGGCGGGGCCGGGGCGACCGCTAACGTTGCCGAGCCCGTGGCTGCCGCGGCGGCGGCGGTTGCTGCGGGCGGGGAGGGCGCGGGGGACATTTGCTGGAGGACCTCGAGGTCCGGGGGGGGCTTGGTGGCGGCCTCCTCGGCACCGCAGTCGACTTGCGTGCTCTTCGGGCTGTCGCTGCCGCACCCGTGCTTTTCCTGTCCGCGGTCCCCCTTGTCTTCGAGGCGGTCCAAATCGAGGTCTGGCAAATCGAACAGTGCATCTGCAGGAGGCGTGCCGTACGGTTTGTCGTTCGGTGCGGCCGGAGAGAGAGAGAGGCAACGGGAGGGCGGAGGGGGTTGGGGGGCATGGTGAAGACGCGAGTCTAAAACTGCTCAAGAAGATTTCGAAAGGGTGAAAGCGTTTTTCTCAAATAGACCGATGCTGCTTCAAAGTGTTTTTTCATCCAGCTGCTGCACGCAGAGAAGAAGTCAGCAATGCTTCCATCTGGAGCCGTCTGGGGACAAACCCAAGCCATCCTCACTCGACCTTGAATTGAGAACAAAGTGGCAGCAGAATGGGATGTCAAGCAATAATCACTATCCATTCCATACGGTTCATCAACTGGGCGTTTCACGCTCTAGCCCAAGAAAATCTACGTCAGAAACTGCACTTACGAACCGTAAGCAGACTAGCTGGGAAACGGCGCGCCGCAAATGAGAGAAGACGTAGAAGAATATGTTCGCGGAAATGCCGTATCTTGACACCCGAAACGTTCAGTGTAGCGTCATGTCATATTTTCCGCCGGGGAGGCGAGAAGAAAGACGAATATCGTGTCACGGCAGCAGCACGAGGTCCAAGATTCTCTGCACCTTGGTGCTCACGGTATCGAAAGTCCTCGGGCGGTAAAATTTTTCTAGCTTTGATCCTGCCGGCAGATATGGGGGCATTTTTGGAAATTGGGTGTTGTCTTTACTTTACCCCAACAACCATCTTGTACTGGTCCTCAAGGCTAGCAACAAAAGTTCAAGGTGTCCACGACGACAACCAACGGCTTAATCGTTTCCTTTTTACCGGTGGGCTGCCACTCAACAGCTTCCATGGCAAACGTCAGTTGCACGTATACTGCTAGCCACACAGAGGGGACCCCAGCACGAACAAAGTCCGGGCTCGCCAAAGGACAACATATTGAATACACATCCTTGTTAGCTGCGAGAGACACGCCGTTCGCTCCCCCCCCCTACTATGAGAAGACCGAGGAACGTTCCGCACAAAACGCGGCGAATTCGGCGCGAGTCCCTTCTAACCTATGCACCATCTCAAAATAATTATTGAGCATGCTGGAGGGCGTAGGGCTCGAACTACGGCTGCGTGGTCCCTTGAGTTGTGGATGTGGCCGCCGTCGAATATCCCCGGTTTGCCGTACACAGTCCCTAATTTGGCAGGGGGGCTTCGTTCTGTACTGATTGCGAGCCTTGGTTACACTTTCGAGCAAGGCTAGGTTACCCACCCCACATCTACCCTATCCCTGACCCTCACCCACGGCCAAAGCACGGCCTGGCGGCCGCGAACTGGGCGGACGCGGCTGCGCCGCGTGCTCGGAATGCGGGACGGGGAGAGGGCGCTGGAGAAGAATCGGCCGCCAGAAGCAACGCCGAGCAAAGCCCGACCAATCAGAACGCGTTAGTCCTTAAGATCTACTATCAATGTGTAAACACTACTGCTCCACACAAGCCTCGCAGTGAAGGGTTCGGAAGGCTAGATGCTGGGGTCGCTTCGTTTGTGTGAGAAAAAAATCTCCGTCCATGGAGATCGTGTTTGTTGTTCGATTGGGATAGACCGAACGCAGTTGCCAGGATCGGCACATAGAAGAGAAGCCCAGCAGAACATCAACGAGGAGCCCAGCAGAAAGCCCTGATCCCCTCAAGCCTTTTTCCTTCGGAATTGGTGATATGAAGCGTAGCAAACGGCCTTCCTATGCATTTAAGATAAACATAACAAAATAACGAAGTCTGCCACCCACTGGGGAGACATCGTTATATGCTGCCATGGGAAATCGTAGAGACACAGGTCATAACACCCCGCTAACACGATGAACTCATTGCCGATTAATCCTAGACCTTTCAATGGATGGAGATGGATTCGTTGCGCTTTATGTCGAGAAAAAAAAAAATAGCAGTACAGTACTGATTATCAGGCCGATGGTCCGGGACGGGCAGACTTGAAAAAACGAAAAAACGCCGCACTCCTTCATGACTGTTCTATTTACACTCTGCCCCCTCTGCTCCCATCTCGCTGCCAGGAAAGTTCAGCTGATGCATCACTTTTTGCTTTGCTTTCAAGCTCAGACGTGTGCCGTAGCTCGAGATCAGCTTTTGAGACCAAAATAGGGGTGTGCGCATAAAATTACACCGACGGGCAAAAAAAAGACTCGGATGTTTCGAGAGACAAGCTCTATTCGGGAATTTTTATACTCAAAACACCGATGTACTCCTCTTGAGATTCACTGCAGCAGTACACAGACAACGAACATTTAATTACATGCGGTATGCACGGCTCCGTGTGAGCCTACATCAGTCTACAAAGAGCAGCGTAGCCGTGAAACATGCAAAGTATGAAAATGGCCCGCGCACGAGGTCAAGAAGTTGCAGCATATCTTGGAAGAAGTAGAAATGATCCATTTTGCAACGCGCACCTTGCAAATCAGCGTCTAGCAGCAGCTCCTCGGTAGCACCTCCCTCGAGGTACGGCTCCTTGCCCCACCCCCCGTCTTTGCCGCCCCCATCATCAGTATCTAGCAACAGCTCCTCGGTTGCACCTCCCGCGAAGTACGGCTCCTTGCCCCACCCCCCTCCTCTGTCGCTTCCACCATCACCCGCATTTTCGAAATCGCCTTCTTCGGCGTCATCATCTGCTGTATCGCAGTTCAGATCTGTGTTGCCGAACACGCACTCCAGATCTCCGAGCTCTAGTCCTAGGCGCAGAAGGTCATCGAGCTCTTCCTTTTCGGCCAATTTAGTCTCATCGTCCCCCGGCCAACCAAAGTCGGCGAACTCATCCGTGGCAAAGGCAACGGGAGCAGCAATAACTTTCGGAGGTGCTTGCAGAGGTGCCCATTTTTTCGGGGTCTCGAAAGGCAGGCCGGTGTCGGTGGCTCCCTCGTTGTGCTTGGTGACGAGACTGCACGCAGAAGAAGCTGCTGCAGGACGAAGCGTCCTCCCCGACATATCAAGCCGAGATCAGACGGGAAGGGCCTGTCCTCTTGCCTCTCGTCCTCTTGGGTGTGAAGTGTTGGCTGTCGGTGCTGCGTGTGGTGTTTGTTCTTTGATTCTCACTTTTTTTGTAATCTGCACAGTCCCGCCGCAAGGTCCCGCCGCACGACAAAGTCGTTGTTCGTTCACATGGTTGTCTTGGTTCTCGGGTTCTGGAAACGGTCCACGGCTAGCTACTGATCCTTGACTAGCTATTTACTGCTGTTGCACCAAGCAGCACAGCAATGATTTTGTTGCCTATCGCCGAGGAAGGGGGAAGGACCCAGGACCCAGGCTAGCACAGCTCTCGCCAGCAAGCCCTAAAGACGGGTGCAAATCCTTCCGGGTTTTACATTATAGACTACACCCGCTGATTCGCAGATTGTCGAGGGAACACAAGCCACTTCTTCCGAAGGGACGCAGCGTGCAAGGAGTTTACGCAGGCGGAAGGACGGATGCCGAGCGCACAGAGTAGTGTTATTAGCAGGGGGTGGAGATATGCATGGAATCGTGGAACGAGGAAGCCAGCAAACTACGGAGATAAGTCGTGTTTGCTAGAAAAGTAGCTTGCAGTATGGTAGTCCTGGGGAACCTGGCGAAGAGGACCACGGCACCATTGGCACAGAGGGGAGAAACAGGGAACGTTGGTTATCAGCGAAGCACGATTTTGACCGGCAACGATCGGTTGTGGTACATATGTCGTGGTGGGGCAGTGCAATCACGATGATGCATGATGGCAGTAGCACGATTGAGGGTCGGTAACGATCATCATCGATGATCCTGTTGATCCAGCACAGTCTTATGTTGCGTTTTGTCGCAAGGACGCGTGGCGGTTTTCAGGATAAGTCAATATCGTTCAAACCTTGGACGTATGTGACGGTCTTCCTTCCGTTCAACAAGAAAGTCTCAGCGACAAGTCGCTGAACTCTTCAACCCCACAATCTGGAACGAACGATCCATCCCGGCGCTTCCTGCCCTTCCCACCCCACACCATTCACCTTCACCCACACCTCTGATCGCTTGGTCAGAGCACAAAACAAACCAGCAACCAAGGCTGAATCGCTTCATCTTTTCAACATGAAAATGTTGATGGCCCCCTTCCGCTACATCCTGGCTTGGATTTCTCCCAAGAGTGAACGGTGGGTGCCTGAATCGCTATTACTCCGTGGTTCGCAAGATTATTTGGTGTCATGCTTTGAGTATGACTAACGACCCCTTTTCTCTACCCCTCACGGTTGAACAAATGGCTAATGCCCGCCGCACCAGAAGCTACACGTGGTGCCGGCTTTCCTGCGAGATGCTGGAGGAAAACTGTGCCCGATGCCTTCCCCTCCTGCCCAAGCCGATAAACACCCCGAACTGGCTCGCCTGGTTAAGGTCTGCACTCACACCGACAATGATCATCGGGTGTGTTGCTGTTGCGGCGTTGCTGTCCGTCCCTCTGGCCAGAAGGATCGTCAACGGAAAGCGGTGGGTAGCTCTGTCCCCCCATGAAATAGCAGAGTTTGATATACTTAGAACCACAACATTCTACCCGAGTCAATCAGTACGATCGTTGCTGTGCGCACAATATAGCGAGACAACAACTGCAGCAATAACCAACGTTCATTGTGTAACATGTTGGCTAATGATATCCACCCGGTCGAAAAACAATTTGCATCAAATCAAGCGCATGGAGGGTCTGACGGTAGACGCTATTAACATCTGATGCTTGAAACCCTGTCCTCAAAACAAAGGTCGAAACGCGATGCCGAAGACACCAAGAAACGAAACGAAAAGTCCCAAGAATGCATTTGGAAGAGTAGGCTCCGAGTGTACATCTGGTACGTTCTATTTCAACGCGCCGTCAAGCCACGAGCTCCAGCTCGTTCCCAGCAGCTGCGGATCTGCGCCGCCCGGATGCCTCCATCAGCGGTGGCGGCGGCGTTGAGACGTCCGGGTCTTCCTCTCCCGGAATCACTCCGGGACGTGGCCGTTGCAGACGGCATGGTCCTTCAGATCCCAGGGCTGACATTCCACTTCTCCAATGACCCGACGTCGACATTCTTGGTGGAGGCGTTTGGCACACTACAAATCTTCCGGAACCGTCGGGACACCTCCACCTCTGACTGCCTAGATGATGGTGATGAGGAGGATCGTCTCGTGCACCCCGAAGAAATGGAACTAACGGTTGCCATATTTTCGCCCGCGCAAGCGTGTCACGGCCGAGGTGACCCGGGCGCTACTTTCCCACCGTCCGGGGAGCACGCAAGGGCCGCTACGGGATCGGTGTTCAAGATATGGATGACGTTCACACCACCATCACCGCCGTCGGAAGGCCTGGGCCCGTCGATGGCGGCGGGGGCGACCATTAACCTTTCAGATTTTGGCTGGCTCGGCAATTCGACGAGGGCACTCGATCTGTCTCCATATCTACACTCTCCTCCTACCGGTCGCAGCAGGGTAAGCACAACGGGTTCTGTGTTCCCAATATGGTACATCACTTATGGGTCTGATCAAAAACAATCCAAGCAGTGGGAGCGGTACTCGTGCCACGCATGGATTGACTCTGGCTTTTTTCTTTAACAAGAACTGAGAGGTGTGTTACGTGACCTGGTAGTACAAATAGTTGTACCATTTTGGTCGACACAAACTTGTTTCCCGCGAGAAGTGGACAAGCCGCCTCGTTTCCAGACAGAATATGATCGAAGCCGTATTTATCTATCATCCATAATCTCGCGTGCATTTATTTGAAGACTTCAGTATTTCCCATCACCTGCGAGGAGCTACGCAGCTAAATACCACGACCATCGTTCAATTGGTGGTGTCAACCGCCCCAACAGCATTTTCCTGTCGTACCTGTTTCCGTCCTTCCTGAAGACTGACCTCCTGCCACCGGGAGGAGCCGCCTTCGAATTGTTCGAGCCGGAACGGAAGCCCGCGGTGAGTGTCAATACAACCATATTGTTCTTGTGTACGAGCTACTTCGAAGCATAAAAAAACAGCTTGTAACATGCGTAAGTTGGTATCCCGTCTCTTCTCCAGGCAGACCACGATCGACGCCATATCTCTCTATCATCCATCATCTCGCATGCATTTAAGAGAAGTCTTCAACATTGCTCATAACCTGCGAGGAGCTAGCTAAACACCACGACCATCGTTCAATCGGTGTGGTGTCAACCGCCCCAACAACATTTTCTTGTCGTACCTGTTGCCGTCCTCCCCTTCCAACAAAAGGGTGACCTCCTGCGACCGGGAGGACCCGCCTTCGACTTGTTCGAGCTGGAACGGAAGCCCGCGGTGAGTGTCAGCAAAAAACACTGTTTTGTCTAAGATCGCTAGAAAAACACCTGCCTGTAACACGCGTAAGTTGGCATCCCGTCTCTTCTCCAGGCAGACCACGATCGAAGCCATATCTCTGTACCACCTATTCTCTCGCATGCATTTAAGGGAAGGCTTCAACATTTTTCATCACTCACGAGGAACTAGCTAAACACCACGACCGTCGTTTAATCGCTGGTGTCAACGGCCCCAACAACATTTTCCAACAACATTTTCCAACAACATTTTCCAACAATTTTTCCTGTCGTACCTTCTTCCGTCCTTCCCGTGTAACGTAAGGGTGACCTCCTGCCACCGGGAGGACCCGCCTTCGACCTGTTCGATCCGGAACGGCAGCCCGCGGTGAGTATCAATACGAAAATACTGTTCTTGTCTAAGAGCTATAGAAAAACCCAGCTTGTAACACGCGTAGTAAGCGGATATGCCGTCTCGTCTACAGGCAGCAAAAGACCGAAGCCAAATACACATATATCAATTATCCAACAACAGCGTCCCTGGGGTACCTTCGTTTCTCCCTCCCCGTCTAGCGGCAAGTTCAACTCCTGCACGCGGACGGGCCGAACCTATCACTGCTCGACACGGTCGACGAGGAGCCCGCGGTGAGTGTCTTTGCAAGATTGTGTTCGTCGGAGAGCTTTAGCAGCAGCTCCCACGACAGCCGCCTCGCAGCAAAGTAGCCACCGTTCGTAGACGAGATTCCACGAGGTATAGGGTCTAGACACACAAGTACTTGTTGTATATATTTTGGTGTGCTCGCGCATGCTGCTTCGGCCGAAGAACATCATGGGTTGATGTGACCACGGTAGATCTGCGGAAGCAAGTTAGTTCGGTGCATCGTCTGGCGAATGGGCGTCTCTTCGCAAGATATTCCAAGTTTCCATTTCTTCAAGACCCCCACCCTTCCCGTTGTTTCGGGCGAGGGACATGTGCCAAAGCTCGTTTCTGGCCCTCAGACCTGCGGCAAATTCTTAGTAGCTGCGATTTTGCCGTAATGCCTTTTCCCAATTTTTCAGTCAGGCGCATTCGCGGATCTTCGTTTCTTCAAGCACAAGACCACCGGGGAAGTGTTCGCCCTGAAGACCGCAGAGGTGAATTCAGCGGGGCAGTGTTATCTCGTTATCGAATTGCAATGCGGCGACATGATTCTTTGGAAGAGTATTCTGCGCTGCAAAGGCTCCGTAGTCCACAACGTGCTGTATTAATACTGTGTTTTTACTTTTCATCAACAAGGGTAGATCTCATCATCATATACCCGAGACCGAAGTGTTGTGCCGTGCATCCACTGAGTTTGAGCGTTGTACGGTTGCGATGGCATTGGATTCAACTAGGCAAGGCATGTGAAGCCTGGGTCAACGAACCACAGTAAGACCTTGCGCCACGAAACACCCACACAACATAGTTTCGCAGGCGGCGAGCGCCCAGGGCAGCGCGTGGTTTCAAGGTGGTCGAAGTTGACGCACTTGCCAAACACTCCTATGTGGTCGCTCTGAAGGCCGTGCACACACGTTCCATGCGCCCCACTCTTGCCATTCAAATCCCACCAAACTCGGAATTCATTCCGATCGATTTCAGGACACTCCCGAGGGAATTAGGAAGATCCTCGCGGAGATCAACATCCTTCGCGAGGTGATCGGCAGCGCTCCTCGTCACATTGTGACGGCTATCGAGACCAGAGCGACCCCGACGGCCATGATACTCACCAAGGCGGAGCCCAGGACGTTGAGATGCATCGGAGACAGCCCTAGTGCTACGAATCCTGGCGAGACCGTCAAGTGAGGCAAAAAATACGATGCAGGCCTTCGTGGGGTGTGCCTGTCGCTTGTGTAATGGGCTCTTCATTGAAAGATAGCAGAAATCCTCATCCCATTCAAACATTGTGGTGCATGAGCTGGACCGCGCCAAACTTTGACCGTGCTAACGTAGACAACCTTGATATCTTTGTAGGCAACATTTGAGTTGATTTCGCAAAGATATGAACTAGACGACCCCGAGGCTCAACAATTACCCCCCCCCCGCGTGAATCGTGTTCCTCCTCGTGGTCGGGATTTCCAGGGTGCTCGACGGAGTCCTTACGGCTATCGAATTTCTTAGCTCCGANAATTCCCCCCCCCCCGCGTGAATCGTGTTCCTCCTCGTGGTCGGGATTTCCAGGGTGCTCGACGGAGTCCTTACGGCTATCGAATTTCTTAGCTCCGAGGGTTTTCTGCACCGCGACATTAGGCCCGAGAACATCCACGTATCCGGGGACGGAGAAGGACTTCTAGCCGACTTTGGCCTTTGCACCCACAAGGAGGTAGCGGTCCTTCCCTGGCAGATCGGTGCGGGTACAGTGGAGTACCAGGCTACAGAGGTGGCGACCACGGGGTCGTCCCTATGCTCTGAGTTATTCGCTGTCTCAGTCTGCTTCCTGGAAATGATGCTCAGCCACAACCCGTTTGACGGGAAGGTGTGTAGAGCAAGAAGACGAGGGTGGGGCATTGTCGGTGTTCACAGCGGATGGGTGTAGGAATTGGAATTGGCTACTAGCACAACCCCTTCGGTGTAGAAAGGAGTGCCTTGTACACGCAAGCCATTTCATTCTTGAATTCGTGCAAGTTGAAACGTGTGAAGCACGTCTCGAGAGAACAACTATTTTTTGTCACTGTCACCTCTTGAGCATTGTTCCAGCGGGTTGAAAAGGTGGCATCTAACCCTAGATGATGAAGCAAAAAGTGTGTCGCAAACATAGCCTCCTCGCGGGCACGTGCAGTTTCAGTCTAAGCTTCTGCGCGTAATACACGTAGGCCTACCGCCAAAACAACGCTTTCGGGTTTCCCGCCCCTTGTCTGTGTCGCCACGCCGTAAACTGTAACATGCTGCAACATTCAGGCACTGCTGCTCGCTAGCGAACGGCGGAGGTCTTACCTCGAGGGGGTAAAGAAAGAGCTCCTCCACTTTCTATCACATCTTCCCGAGGAGGGACATACTCGGGGCCGGGTTGTCCCCGAAAACCACATGGAATCCCAAAACACCGACCGCGAAGCAATAGCGGAGGCATCCTCTCGGCTGGAAAACACACGCAGAACGGAATGGGTGAGACAAGAGTGAACGAGATGACACTAAATTCAAGGGACCAAATTTGGGATGGGATGGAACGAGGTACTTTGCGTGTGGCACAACACCACAGGGCAGCGTGAGCTCGGTAGCGAACAACAAGCAACGCCGACAGCCGCAAAGTGCAAGGCAGCACATGGTTATGCACAGAAAATAAAAATAGCGGGATGTCGAATTTTGATGCGTCAATCATTGCAACGCGCGAGTTCTTGGAGTGGAAACCGGCTTGAAACAAGGCTTCTTCCGTAGAGGGCAAAAACGTCGCTCATTGCTCCTTGTGCAATAGCGGCAACGTGAGTTTGTGGTCATTGCCAGGAAGGGGCACGCGGTGCTTTTCTTGTAGGATAGTCCCTAACTGCATTCAAGCCGGTAATGAAATGCTTCGTTCAAGTTTGGTCAGTTTGCAGGATAAACGAGACCCATTCTGTTCTCAACGGGTGCATGTCGACAAGGTAGTATCGAAAAACATGTTTCAGTCTACCATCTACATAGTCGAGCAACCTTGCCGAATAGTTTTACTTAGGAGATAATTGGTGGCGTAGTAGGTGTTACTGCGGTCTCGACCGTCGCTCAACCTGATTTGAACCGACTTTATACACCAGACGGACCCGTCAATTTTTGCTGATTTGTATTCTGCTGTTGTTCTCGTGCTGCACCAAACCGATTGAACCAAGCAGCTCCTCGGCATTCGCAGCGACGAATGGCGGCCGAATGCGGAAGCTCTGTCGGCACTGGCCAGGACAGAAGTACCTCTGGAAATGTACGTCGTGCCCAGCCAGGCCGACACCCGCTCACGGGAGATTAAGGAGGTGAAAGGAACTCCCACAAGAGTGGAGAAATACGAAACGGTTATGAATATACGTTACGTTCATTGGGGGGCGAAAAAGCAGAGCTGAGCTCTTGGGTTGCACGATTGTATCCAAGATTAACGTAATCACAAGAATAACCCGTTGAGGTTCCACCTGCAACTCCCAAAAGAGTCTCCGCGGCCCCATCAAACTGACCCAACGCTGAGAGCAGACTTGCTGGTGCATCCGGTACGAGACATTTCATATTGACCAAAACTGTTCCTTCGGGAGTGGTGCCTTTTTGAGTTCATAGAAGTTAAGAAGTGATCGTTATGGTACAGAATAGAGGAGGACAGATTTGCGCATACTTGTTCATTCGAACTCATACGAAGATGGAAAGACAAACCATTGGACAAGCAGCAAACTAGTGAAAATAAAACAGAGATTCTTGTCTTGTACCCGACTCTCAGCTTCTCTATACAACACGGATACAATAACTAAACACGTTGCCCCCCCAACGTCTGCGTCCCTCACGTTCTCCCAGGACTGGGCGACAGTCGAGGCGAAGAGTTCTCCTCGAAAGGTGTTCGAGGCGGCCGATTGGACGGAATGGCTTCCTGGTACCACCAGGGTGCCTTGCACGAAGGGTCTCCGCAAGCTCGTGTCTCTGGTGGTGGAGAAAGGCATGCTAGATCCGAACCCCGGCGGTAGGCCGCAGACCACGGCCGCCTTGCAGGGTCTCCTCCACGAGGCCCTGAGGCTCTATGAAACTGTTGAGGCAGAAGGGGAGTAGGTTGAACGGCAGTCAGTTGAGGAATCCCTCGAACGAGTACACGTTCATCCCGCTAAAGTTTTACACTTTCGTCTCGATCGCTTTCATGCGCCCTCCGTGCGTTGAATGCCGGGACATGTGTACGTACGTACACATTGCACATATACATTTTTCTTTTGGGTGGCGAAAATCCCTAGACTGCTGCGAAAAGTTGTAATGCTGGCGATTACCCGGCCGAGGGAAGCATGACGATGGGACGTGTAACAGAATGATTATCCCATTCGGAGCTTTTGTTCGCTGGAGGTTCGACGAAAGGCGTCCGGGGTGGTGACGGTGACTGAACGTGGTTGTGAACGGGTCTTGCGTGTGAGATCGGAATAAATGTTCCAAGTGGTGAATCAACACAGGTGGACGTCCATCCCCCTTCCCCACAATGTCGGTTGCCCTCGCCCCATTGTGGAGACCTTGACAAGGTCGAACATTCTCCCCTTTCGATGCCTTGGTTGTCTTCTCCAAGGTGTTCGACCTTGTCAAGGTCTCCACAAGGGGGCGAGGACATCCGACATTTTGGGCAAGGGGGGTCGACCTCCATCTGTGAAAGTGGCAGGCTAGGTTGCTGAGGAGACGTTGGTGCTGTAGAATGCAACAAGTGTGCTTTGTATGATTGCAGGACGGGGGATTAGTTGTCTGGCCAGTAGACTATCACGTGTCTAATGGACACTGGTGTGAGTTGTAGAACTTGCGTGAAGCAAACATGGACCGGTCTTCTATCGGTTGCCTGTTGGGTTTAGAGAAATCCTCCTAATTCAAGCACCTATTGGCAGAATGCCTTGATGAACCGAACGTGAAACCGTCCAGGAGGTCTGAACTACATAGAGCTTCTCCACAGGAGATGTTGCGCTGTATATACACGATTAACACTTCATAAACCTGGTCGCCCCGGTGGTCTAGTTGGTATCCTCGAAACCTTTCAGAGGTCAGGTCAGGGGTTTCCGCGTAAGCGAGCTTTTCCTGCAACGTGAGTTTTTCTCTCGTTTCCGCTCCTGGCCTAGTGGATAGCGCTAGTTCGTGTGTACACAGAGGGAAGAGAGTGCTGAACCCTTGTCGCATTGAAAATAGAAGGCAACGTGCCGCAGGGGCGGAGGGTAGAGAGGGACTCTTCTGTGTGTGTACGGGTTGGTGTAAACCGTACAAAAAAATAACACACCTCGCCCGCCACATCGTCAACACACGCGCTTTGTACAACGCCAGCAGCAAACCCAACAAGAATATGACTTCTGCTAGGGGTTGCTTCACTTTTCTGACGTTCCACAACATGCAGCGTGTTTTGAGACTGCGAAACAACTGGTAGACCAAGGGTACAAGAAAAAACAATTCCGGGACACATAGTCTACCCCTTTCCTATCAACCCGGGGACGGGGAAATTCAGAAACGTTTCCACGTCACCGAAAACATTCTACGGTTTAGAGCTTGTTGACGACAAGTATGGATTTAGGAGAGACAACCTATCTTGTCATTTGTCACGTGTCTTGTCGATATATGAGAGACTTTGCCCATGTAATCCTGCCGTATCTCCTAAATCGGACCCCGACAGAGAAAATAAGCATAAAAGACAGGCCCAAAACTGTAGCTACCATGACCTGGGCGGCCGGTAGCCGCTGCTTCAGCGCCCACGATCACACGTCAACAAAGTCGAACAGGTTGGTGTCGCGAGTTATGCTGGCGGAGCTCGAGCGGTGACGACTATGATGTCCACGTCGGCGTGCAACGGCGAAAAGAGAAGCAGAGGGTGCGGACGATGGGGTGTGATAATCTTCGAGGGGGGAAGGAGAGAGGTGGGCGAGCTACGCCTCTATCACCGTTTGATTCGCGCGAACGAGTGACTTACGCGCGGGCATCTTCGAACAACGTTTCAAGAGGTTTTTCCAAGCCTTGAGATGCGTGCGGAGATATTGAAACAATCAGAAATTGGCTTTACTCCACGGTACACCAGCGTTCGTCATACCACTACTACTGCAGACCGTCAATCCGTTTTGGACTGCGGCGGACAGTGAGAAAGCTTGGGAGCTTCATTCGAAATCTTCTTTCATTGGCATGTGTATCTTGTCCTCACGTAGAAGCCAAATATAGAGGTGGTGGGAGCATCTCTTATGAGCACCCACCTGGGTATATGAATATATCATTGTTGCTGTATTGTATCATCCGACCCTTGTCCACCACGAAGAGTCCTCACCAACGTGTTCATTATGCTTCATGAAACAGGTATCACGGGCGTCCATGAAATGGTTCCTCAACGACCACGAGTGACCGCTCACGGATTGTGGCCGCTCACTTATCATCGTCCAACGGCGGTAGCACTCGCGCGTCCACGAAACACCCGCGACCGTTCAATCTGGCCAAATTTTCAGAGGAAAAATCGCTGGAATTCCTCAAGTCGATACCAGATGATATGGCATCGTACGCGCCTTCGACACTGCACACGACCGCCCGCACTACACCACACCACACCACACCACAACACAACACACCACAACACAACACAACACAACACACAGCGCAAACATCACCAGCTCAACAAATTAACCACAGGGCGTACATGTAGCACGTGGCACCAGCAGCGAAGCTCTCCAATGTAAACACGCGCTGTCTACTGTATCGTCGGGATAGGCGTGAACTGTGGGGTCGAGCAAAGTCACGCAGTGCTACGCAAGTTGCGCCGAACGCCGGAGACGTACATGTTTGTTCGAGGCCGGCAACTCTGTGCTCTGCGATATTTGTATGGTGTGACGTGGAATGGGAGCGCTCGTGGATGTTCACTAGGTAGGCTAGTTACAGTAGAGTAGTTTTGTCGACAACGGCGGCGTGTAAAAAAAGCACCAAGCGTCCTACAGTAGATCTACATATAGACACGGTATAGTAAAGTACTCAACAGCAGTAGAGCAATTTTGTCGACAACGGCGTGAAAAAAAAAACGAAAAAAAATAAGCGTCCTACTGTACATCTACATATAGACCATGCTTTTCGGCGTTTCACCCATGTACATTTAAGGAGGTGAAGCCATGGGCGGTAGCTTGCTCCAAGAGATAGATGAAGGTTCTGTCGTTGACACGCTTGTCCACGACCACGTTGAGATGGGAAAGTTGCTTCTTATTGCTGAAAGACGATCAGCAAGGGTCTGAGATGGAGTGGGGATCGAACTTCATCTCAGGGGGTACACAGAGTAGACAATCTAAAGGGGTAGGGGTCAGAAGGGTATACCTCCTGACCGACCCGCATCCTATCAACAATAAGATGAACCCAATTCATGCTAGCAGCCACACTCCTTAACACTAGCCCACCCTGAATATCATATATACAGGTTATTATTTTGTTTGCCCNCTATACTCAAATCAACGCTCAAATCCTAAAGCTACAGTAAGATTTAGCTATTGATTTATGATCATGAATCGAAGATATGACTCTTCACAAAACATCCAAAAGGAGGGTGAGTTGTAGAATATCCGGAATCAACCCCCGACACCATCATTGAGATGAAGAATGCGAACGGTCACCAGGCGGAACATCGACATCTCAATGACAACGCATAGCTACGAAGAATATATATTGCTGCAGAGCACGCTATCATCCTGAACAGACGACGACAGAGGAAAGCAAAACCAATGTCCAAACGCCACACACCACTCTCTTACGCGCACCCGCGCGTATCACCACTGGAGGAATGAGGGTGACTACCCGAGAGAGACCAAAATACGGTGAAGAAAGTCAAAACCCAAAGAAATTTCCGAACGAATACGTCCTTTCATACTGGACACGACGCAATGGGAAAACTCAACGCAATCTAGGACAAAGTCAACGAAGGGCAGGAAAAAAGAACGACAGGCAAAGGCACGGAGAAAGATTGCCAGCGTGCCAGGGTACCCAACTCGCATAAGGAGACGGCAAGGGCAAGACCTAACGAGGACCAAGAATGAATGCAAAGCACAAACGATTAATGCAAGAGAGGCGGTCTGACGAACTGCGCCATGGCTCGCTGGCGATATGCATCATACCAAGACATGAAGCACAGAAAAGTTGTAGTGATACACACAACAAGACGACGACTTAGGGACGCGACGGTGATGAAGGCGTCGGCCGAAGGTGGCGATGATGGAGACGAAGCAGAACGAAGTGCGGGTGACGATGAAAATCCACGGGAGAACGCGACGCCACGGGATGAAATCCCGAAGCACCAAGCGTATGCGACACTCTGCGGCACGATTGTGCTAAAACAAAAAAAATTAAGACAAACATTAGTTGGCAAACAGGCGAACCAGGAAAACGCGGGGTACTCGGGGTCCAAGTGTCCCGAGGCAAACAACACTGACGAAACTTGGGGAACTCTTTTTCCAAGTGTTCAGAGGCAGACAACACCGACGAAACTTCGGAGGGAGCTTGTCGACCAACAACAACAAAAAAAAATTAAGCAAATGCGAGAGAGAACGGACATCCAGGTCGCGGCAGTTCACTGAACCAGATGAATGCAGGCAACAAGGAAAAAGGATCACTCGACACTGCGTGTCTTGGGGCGGCGTTGCCCCAGCGTCCAAAACCAAAAATAAGCCAACAAAAGAAAAGAGACAGGACAGAAAAAAACAAAACAAAACAAAACGGAAGGTGACAGAAAAAGAAAAAAAAATCAAAACGTCGGCGAGAAGGATGGCACAAAAGACCAAAATAGGCCGACTGGTATATGAAACGACGACGCTAAGAAGAAATGGTGGCAACAGGCGACGGTAAGGAGTCAGCAAGGAGCGGAGTGTGACCACGGTTGTCGCCCAGAGGGCGTGAACGATGTTTCTCTAAACACCATGATCCACAGACGGCGTCCAAGGCGATGGAGTAGAGGTGCGCAGGCAGAGAGAGAACGCTTGGGCCCTGGTCATCCAAGAATCGAACGATGTACGAGCCGCCCTGATGAGCACCAATACGTCCGGTCCACCATAGACCATCACGGGCCTTGTACCACAACCGCGCGCCAACAGGACGGGGAGAAGCGCTGAAACGACGAAGCCAAGTCGCGCGAAGCACAAGATCAGCCCCAGGAGGTAAGTATCGTTCTCCATGATTCTGGGCTAGCTCCCGCTGTGCCGCGCAAGTCCGAGCCACTCGATATGTACGGTTACCCTGCTTGCTTTGGCAGACCTCCCGGGACCAGTACAAGAGGATGTGCCGACGGAATTNGACCACGGTTGTCGCCCAGAGGGCGTGAACGATGTTTCTCTAAACACCATGATCCACAGACGGCGTCCAAGGCGATGGAGTAGAGGTGCGCAGGCAGAGAGAGAACGCTTGGGCCCTGGTCATCCAAGAATCGAACGATGTACGAGCCGCCCTGATGAGCACCAATACGTCCGGTCCACCATAGACCATCACGGGCCTTGTACCACAACCGCGCGCCAACAGGACGGGGAGAAGCGCTGAAACGACGAAGCCAAGTCGCGCGAAGCACAAGATCAGCCCCAGGAGGTAAGTATCGTTCTCCATGATTCTGGGCTAGCTCCCGCTGTGCCGCGCAAGTCCGAGCCACTCGATATGTACGGTTACCCTGCTTGCTTTGGCAGACCTCCCGGGACCAGTACAAGAGGATGTGCCGACGGAATAGATCAAGGTCGGATTCCCGTTCCCATGAAGGAGTAGTCAGGCCTAACCAATGCGTCTGGTACAGGACAGCGAGAACGCCGCTACGGCCCCGCATCAGTTGATGTCCCGAGATGCAGTCGACCTCGAGGCGCCCGATAGGCACCGACACATCATCCGCGGTGACGTGGAACGGGGGACATTTATCTCCGAATGAGTCCAGAGCATAACGCGAAAGCTCGGCGGGTAGAGATTGCGGCAAGTCGTCCGTCTCGTACGGATTGCGACAGGGCTTGCAACGAAGGACAGACACGCGAAAACGAGCTGCCGGGCCGGAAAGATCGGAAGGCAGGTCCAGGTAGACGAGTTTACGCGCCAACGGGCGGCCGTCCGGAGTGGCGTCGGCAGAGGTGGGACCCACCGCAAGAACTTTGTAGGGCCCCGTCCAGGAAAGTGCGANATCGGAAGGAAGGTCCAGGTAGAGGAGTTTACGCGCCAACGGGCGGCCGTCCGGAGTGCCGTCCGCAGAGGCGGGACCCACCGCAAGAACTTTGTAGGACCCCGTCCAGGAAAGTGCGAATTTGCCCTTGAGCACCTGTTGGTCCGTGTCCTTCTGCACACCCTGTCGAATTGTAGCAGCCGTGTTGTACACGCAAGCCCACCCGCCAACGGTAAAGTGAGGGAGTTTGTGAATGGCGTCCAGCAAGGATGAGTTGCGGCGTTCGACTCGCGAAATCTTCAGGGCGTTGTACTCACGGACAAGTTCGTATGCCCGGCGCTGGCGATCGACAGCCAGGTTGCAATACTCGAGTTGATCGCGGGCCAAGCTTTGATGACCACCTACCATGGGAGGATCGAAGACCGAAAGTGAGAGTCGCGGGATGCGTCCGATGTGGATCTCGTTTGGCGCAAATCCAGTGGACTGGTTCACGGAATTGTTTTAGGCAAACTCAACGTGCGGAAGATGTAGGTCCCAATCGTTTTGCTGTTCGTTGACGACCACCGCAAGCATCTGGGCCACCGTGTGGTTGACGCGTTCAGTGCCGCCGTTGGTCTGTGGGTGGTTAGAGCTGGTGGTGACCTTCTTGATCTTCATCACCTCGTAGATCGCCATGGAGAGCTTGGGGCAGAAATGCAGTCTGTTGTCCGACAATAACGTGGTCGGACATCCCCACTTGGTCATGTACTGGTTGACGAAGATTTGAGCCGTCCCTTTCGCCGTAAGTTTCGCCGCTGAAACTGCGAACATGTCAGCTCTCCGACTGAAACGGTTTGTGAACAACCAAATGTAGGAGTTGCCCTTGGCAGTCATTGACAGAGGTCCGAAGAAGTCGACGCCGACGACCGTACCAGGCCCCTGCGGCAATGGCATAACGATGACGGGCCACCGAGCAGTCTGACGTGAAGTCTTGCGAGCTTGACACACCATACACGCCCGAAGCCACCAGCGCATGGAACCATCCAAACAATCCACCAGTAGAAGCGCTCGAGCAGACTCTGTGTACGATGGACGCCGAGATGGAATGACGCGGCGATATGGCATGCATGAAGGACCCAAGGACGCATCAGCATTGGCACGTAGACACGGGGCACGCCAGTATCCGGCAAGCGAGTGGCCCTGCCGCCAGAGCGCCCAACCGGCAAGGGCGCCGTTTTATGTTCGAGGAGGGTGACGTTGTCGTTGGTCGTGTGCAGTCTGGTTTTCGCCGCCAACTCAAACACATAATCTAACCGAGGGGAGCGACGAGGAGCACGGAGAGTGAGCAAGTCCGGAGGGGGTGGGGAGGGNGCTCGAGCAGACTCTGTGTACGATGGACGCCGAGATGGAATGACGCGGCGATATGGCATGCATGAAGGACCCAAGGACGCATCAGCATTGGCACGTAGACACGGGGCACGCCAGTATCCGGCAAGCGAGTGGCCCTGCCGCCAGAGCGCCCAACCGGCAAGGGCGCCGTTTTATGTTCGAGGAGGGTGACGTTGTCGTTGGTCGTGTGCAGTCTGGTTTTCGCCGCCAACTCAAACACATAATCTAACCGAGGGGAGCGACGAGGAGCACGGAGAGTGAGCAAGTCCGGAGGGGGTGGGGAGGGAGAACCGCGAAACAAAAAACGCATTGCCACCACACACTCGCTCTCCCGCGGTTGTTCCCTAGCCCAGTCCACAGTGCTGAAACCCTGAACACAAGCCCGCAAGTGGGAGGTGTCCAAATCAAGAGATTCCAAAAGAAAGTCAGGCGATCCAACGGAAGAGGCTGAAGAAGGCGAAGCCTCAGCGACAGGGGCAGCCGAAGTCCGTGGTGATGTCCGCGAAGGGGACATCGTGAGGGGCGAAGTCCCGGGCAAAACCTGTAGAGAAGGCGAAACCGGGGATGCAGGGCGCGCCGCTGACGGCGAAGACACCGGTGGCGCAGGAGCAGTCGACGAAAACGCCGATGCCGGCGTCGCGGATGGTTGCAGCAGACGCGCGGCGGTCCGGGTGGTCTTGTTTGTCGAGCGGGGCCTGCTAGAGCGACGGGCAGGCGACGATATCCGAGGGACGATGGTAGCCCGCGGCTGGCGTCCGAAATAAGCGGGACCGGTGACGGTGCCTCCGGAGTTTAGNGTGGCGCAGGAGCAGTCGACGAAAACGCCGATGCCGGCGTCGCGGATGGTTGCAGCAGACGCGCGGCGGTCCGGGTGGTCTTGTTTGTCGAGCGGGGCCTGCTAGAGCGACGGGCAGGCGACGATATCCGAGGGACGATGGTAGCCCGCGGCTGGCGTCCGAAATAAGCGGGACCGGTGACGGTGCCTCCGGAGTTTAGGCCCGAGTCCGTGAAGAAATGAGCGGTCCCCGCTCCGGAAGCGAAGACAAAACGTGCACACATCTAGTCGCCACAGACGCGGCAGAAGACATCACGCTAACGAAACAGAAGTCAGCGGGGAAACAGGCCCTGAAGATCCGGGAACAGGCGAGAGAGTGAAAACCCCCGGAGACGGCCGAGAGTCTTCGCAGGCAATCGTTGAGTCCGTCGGAGCATCCAACCGACGCGGGTGATGTCGGGGAAAATCTCCATAATCGGAGGGCTGCAACGCTGGGGGCGAAAAGACTCCCGCCGGGCAAGGAGGGCGGAGCCCACCCAAACCGACCTCCGGCGTGGATGACGAGTGAGAGTTGCGCACCCAAGCCCGAACGAGGAAAACACCTGCTTGACCGACACCATCAATGCAGTCGGGGCCGGTTTTGTCAGCGTCTTGTGCTGGTAGAGGCAACCGCGAAAGAAAATCCGCGTTGCCGTTTGCCGAACCTTTCCGATATTTCAGGGTGTAGGTGAAGTTGGACAGGAATTGGAGCCATCGTTGCACTCTAGCGTTGTGTTCCCCAACCTTGCCAATGCTCTCCAAGGCTTTGTGGTCCGAATAGATGAGGAACTTGGTCGACCACATATAACCGCGAAGGCGTTTGATGGCCCAAACAACGCTACCAGATCCAGATCCAAAACGGTCCAGTTACGCTCCGCAGCAAGAATAGCGCGGGTGATGTACACGATGGGTCTCACCGAGCCATCGAGCTGTTCTTGTTCCAAGGAGGCGCCAAAGCCGTCGATACACGCGTCGGAACACAAACGAAGAGGACGGCTGTTGTCCTCGATTGATGCCCAATCCGGGAAGACCAAAATCGGGGGGCGAGCGAGTTCGCTTAACAACGTTTTGACAACCTTGACCATGCCCGGGATGTACTTGAAGGGAACGCCTTGTTTGAGAAGAGAGTTGAGAGGCCGCACCTTGGTGGCGAGATACTCGAGGGATTTCCGGTAGTAGCTGAGTCCACCGAGCAGGCTCCAAAGCTGCTTAACATTCGTCGGCGGCGGCATGTGCGTGAGCGCCCTAACCTCAACGCCATCAGGGCTAACACCGGCCGGAGAGATGGCGTGACCGAGGAAGTTGGCGTGCGTGGCGCCGACGCGAGCATTCCCTGGAGACAGTTTGAGGTTGTACTGTCGCAGTCGTTTGAAGAACTCGGTCATGTTCAGCACGTGTCCCATTCTGTCCTCATCGAAACAGATGACGTCGTCCAGATACGCAAGCACACGCTCTAGACCGTGCACCACTCTGTTGATGACCTTGACGAACCAAGACGGGCTTGTGTTGGCTCCCTGCGGCATCCGAAGCTATTCGAACAACTGCGTGGGAGTGCAAAAGGCGGTGAGCGGGACAGTGTCTTCATCACAAACGATCTGGTGGAAAGCCGAGTTGAGGTCGAAGATGGAGAACACTTTCCCGGTGTACAGAGAATCCAAGATACCGTCCACTCGAGGGAGAGGTTGTCCATCCACATCCACCAGAGCTTCAAACGTTTGTAGTTGAAGGTGATGCGAACCGATCCGTCCTTCTTGGGGATGACAACTAAAGGAGAAGCCCACGGAGATGTGGAATGTTGAATGAGCCCTGCCGCCAAATACTGGTCCAAAACGGCATCCACTCTATTTTGCATCAACGGGCTGATACGATACGGGCGTGATGCAACGGGCTTCTTCCCTGCTGGGACAGAAAGAGTGAACGGCATGATGGTGCAAGAACCAAAATCGGGTTTCGAAGTAGAGAACACGTCAGAATTTACTCCACAAGGGCGTCGGCCAAACGATCAAAANATGTTGAATGAGCCCTGCCGCCAAATACTGGTCCAAAACGGCATCCACTCTATTTTGCATCAACGGGCTGATACGATACGGGCGTGATGCAACGGGCTTCTTCCCTGCTGGGACAGAAAGAGTGAACGGCATGATGGTGCAAGAACCAAAATCGGGTTTCGAAGTAGAGAACACGTCAGAATTTACTCCACAAGGGCGTCGGCCAAACGATCAAAAGTCTCCGGTGTCCATCCCGGATTGTGTAGATCGAAAGCGATGTCGTGCATATGTGCGGGCAGCCTAGCCCACAAGCGCATGAAGCTGGAGCGCTGTGCCTCAGAGAAGCGGTCAAGTAGTTTTTGTGGAGCCAGCTTCGGAGGAGGCGGGGCGGAGGCTGGGTCCGGAGAGCGGTGATTCCCGGACTTGGGGCCAACGACGTTGACCTGAGGTGGTGATGTAGATGTTGTGGGGCCGGTAGGAATCGAAGATGGTGCCGCCTTCAGGGTTTCCACCGGTACTCGTAGTAGCGGCGCGGCAGACACTCCAATTACGTCTCCCGGCTCGAGCTCGGCACAACCTGCAAGGGGAATACGCTGGAGACCATTGGAAACGAACGCATCTGGGGACGAAAGCGCACCCACTTCGGGTTTGAACGATACCAGATACTCTCCAATCAGCGCAGGCATGCCAGAAGAACGAACGAGGTCCACCTCAACGAGTGCAGGCTCCGGCCCCAAGAAAATTCCCGAGGTCCCTGCATATGTAAGGTGAAACGAGGAGGCAGGAGCGTCGTCGTGTGTAGCGTAAACGCAAGCGCCAGCTGTAAAACGCGAGAGAGCGTGAGCTCGCCCATAACCCGGCCGTCCGGTCCAGGGTGGGGGAGGGTGGTGAACACGCGAGAGTTGAAGTGCATCCAGCTTTCATGACCCAGAAGCACGCCGTGCTCCATGGCGGCGTCTGGAACAACACAGGCCCAGACCGCCAAGGAAGAGGTAGCTCGATCTCCATGGAGAAAACTAGCGGTGACACGAATTGACCGGGTGGTCACAAGGGCGGGTCCATCACCAAACCCACCCCGAGGACGAGAGGGCGAAACACGACCGCTGCCAGCTGTCAGGGCTCCAGCAGCTATCATGGCGGTGACCACGGAGTCGGACACGAAGGACGCAGGAGACCCAGAGTCCAGAAGCGCCACTCGCGCGAGTTGAGAAGTGGCTGTAGGTCCTCCATGCCGCAGGACCCGGGTGGTGTATGAGTCCGAGTCCAACAGATGCGTGCGGCCGACCAGATCGGGCCCATGTTCGAGAAGAGGAGGCTGGTCTGCACAAGCGGAGGTCGATGCCACCAGATGAACGCCAGGAGCATGGCCCCCCGGAGCGTCCAAACGGAGACAAGCGGGGTCTTCGCCCGGGTCCTTCCGTGACGACGAACCTGCCGCAGTAGCAACTTCATGGATTCGTCGATGTCCATGGAGAGGAGGCTGCGAAATAGGGAGCGTGGGAGAAGTGGAAGCGGGGAAATCTCGCCAGACAGGGGATGATCGCGCAAAAGGCGTCGAACTTCCATCAAAGCTTTCCCCAACAAGTTTTTACCGCTAGCCGCCCACTTGGATGAAACGCTAGCCTCTGGAAAGCATGCAGACATGCCGATACCCCAAACACGATCGAAGGGGCTGGCTTCCGCAAGGAGGCGGGTACCCGTCTCCATTAGATGATGTGTCATGTCATCTTTTTGAGCAAATTTGGCATACGACCCCGTAAGCACGATCTCTACACGACGACTCTCCCATTCAGCATAGTCGAAAGGACGCACGTCACGACCCAAAAACTTGTGTGTCTTAGTATCTGTTGCAGCCACAATTTTGTCATACGGAGTCATATCTCCAACCAACTTCGTTTTTTCAGACATCATGAAATGCTCACCACATGAATTACGGACTCCCAGTACGTCAAAAGCCGAAGGAGTCCATTGCGAGAACACAGACGGAGGTTTTCAGAAGAGAAGGACGTCATCCGATGCGTACTCGCACTTGTCATCAAACGGCCGGTGCAGGGCGACGGGGCAAAGAGCGGGCACCAGGCACAGGCGGGGGTGGACCAAGCGGACGGGGGTCCTCTTCTCCGACGGGGAGGACCCAGAAAGCGAGGCAGGAGCGGGCGAAGTCGCAACGCTCCGTGATCCGGAGGGCGGCCTTAGGGCGGCGGCTCCGGCGGGGTCAACGTTAGCAGAGGCCATTCGGCTATTAGAGACCCGTTCGTTAGGTGAAGTCATTCCTGCAACAGATGGATGTTTGTTCATTGACGCAGGGCGCTCATGACTACCCCCCCTTGACAAAGGAGCCGAACCTTCAACAGAATGGTGGGCACTACCATCCGATCCCGATGGCAGTGGTGCAGTCAGCACGTGGTGGGCAGCAGAGGAAGACGCATTCGTATCAGGTGCTGCCACACGGGGACAGCGGACGGTCGAAGACAACGAAAGCTGCGAAAGAGAAGGAGAATCGACGGGGTTCCCGACGAGTGTAGAGGAAGGCTCGTGTGCGATCCGAGAAGAGGCTCGGCTGACATCACCAGGAGAGTCTTGACGAAGAGTAGAAGACGAGGTTCTTGTTCATTCTCCAACCCGAGGCGACGAGGAGAGCAGGGATGAACCGCTCGACGTCTTACCTCCCCGTCGCCCACACCACAAAGGTACTGCCGAAATGGGTCTGCCATGTCCAATACCAGCAGACGATGAGGCGGACGATGAGGAGGCGGGCCGAGAAACTAGACGTGATTGAGGAGCGTGGGGAGTATCCAAAGAAATAGGCTGTACACGAACATCTTGGGAGACTCCAAAAGGTGCACGGTGGTTGCTGTTGACGGTTGTTGTTGTTCTTGTTGTTGTTGTTTCTCACATTGGCTCTATTGTCCACAAAACATGGCGAGCCCGTGGTCTCAAAACCCGGCAAATACGACGGCGCGGGGAAACAAATCAAAAACAGGGTACAAACCACTCGGAAAAAGATAAAACTTGATGGAAAGAAAATAACAGGTACCGCACCGACCGTTCGAGAAAAGAGCCCTCGGAAACCGATAAAAAATAAAACAAAACAAAAATAAAGGAGGACGCTTCCCACACCCGCCCAAAGAAAAAATCAAAGGGTAAAGTACCAGCACCAGGCACTACACACCAGGGCATGGGAGTAACGGAGAAAACAGGACAAAGAGGCGGCAGATGGGCAGACAGCCAGATGTACAAAAAACAAAAGCAACAGCACAAGCGAGATCAAGGTACCCAACACAGCCGGTAGTACCTGCTGAACTCCGCCATCGGCTTGTCAATTCTTACCCCTCCAGCCCCTTTCAGCCGAAGTGGAAGCCCCCGACGAGAGCTCTTGTGTGTGAGGACTGTTTCGTGTCCGATGTGTCAGATGAGCGGCGGGCGCGTCCTGAGGAGTGGTTTCGGTGTGGGTTGCGTCCTGTAGGGCGTCCATACGAGGTCAGGCGCTTTTTCCACCGACCCCAAAGTGTGGGATCTTTTTCCATACAGAACTTGATGTCATTGATAAGCAAGTCGGTGCCGTTCACGAAACCATGATTACAGCATTTGAAGGAGTAGACTTCTTCTAATCAGTTCAGGCACTTGCCCTTGTACAGCAGTCGAAGCGCGTTGCGGCGTTCTTCAGCCGAGACCAAGGGGGTGAACAATGACGGATCATTCCATATGCGAAGGTTTGTTGTTGTTGTTTCTCACATTAGCTCTAAAAAAAAAAAAAAAGATTGGGAGCCCGTGGTCTCAAAACCCGGCATACACGACCCCACGAAGAAACAGAAAAAATAGGGTACAAAAACCACTCGGAAGAGAAACAAAATGATAGAAAGAAAGACCAGCTACCGCACCAAACGAGAAAGAGCGTCGAGGAGACCGATCAAAATAAAATAAAAGGAGAACGGGGAACGCTTCCCACACCCGCCTACAACGCCGGAGGGTTCCGTGCCGGGTTCCCGCCGACCAGGCATGTGTGTAGTCTACCGATTGAGGTAAAAGTCAATCGACGGATACCCTGCGTATCGGGTCCTCCTTAACACTCTCCACCCACAGATTGACCCTCAACTGGGAACCTCTTGTGGCCAGGATAGGTAATTCGATGGAAGTGTCACAATGTTCTTTGTAGGATCGACTCCAAGAGGTGTTCTCAGGACTGACACACATTGTGTCTGTGGGAAAATGTCGAAGTCAGGAGAAAAAGTGTGCACCCAAGGATTCGAACCAGTATGCACCTGACGCCATATGGTAAGGTGTACCGATTCAGGTAAAAGTCAATCGACGGATACCCTGCGAATCAGGTCCTCCTTAACATACTGCTCTTGTTTGCGATAGACCGTGCACCACACGTGGCTACAGATACGGCGCAGCAGTCGCCCAGTTCTCGGCGGCTAGGCCACGCGAGAAACGGTGCTTTGTGTACTACGCTGCTGTACATGCGGTCCATTTTGTTCCGACGAGGTTCCGGGGGTAATTCACACCGAATAAATATACTTCGTATTTCACCACAATACTTCATTAGATTCGGACTGGGGCTCAAATTTTTTCCATTCAAGGAAGCAGATTTAGAACCAAGAAAGTTTCCTGGGAACTTCCTGCAGGCAAGTATTTGCAGATTTAACCGGCCTCACATGATGATTGGCTGAAGGGCAACAGGTCTCCTCTCCCACCCAACGAGTTTCGCCTGACCGCAGATGGTGCTGCTTTTTTGTGGTGCGCTGCGCGACAGCTGCACCCTGCTGAAACCGCTCTCTCTCACTGCTGCTCTGTCTGCTGTTGAGTGTGCGTGCATGCGTTGCGAGGGCGTGTCTTCTGTGCCGCCCCCCTCAATCAACCCAACCACACGAAATCGCACCAGGACGTAGCTAGGGAGGGAGTGATTGTACTGGCCGGCGGCCTGTGCACGAGTTAGTTGCAGTGTCGCATTTCAAGCGTTCGAGAGAGAAGAGGTTGTTATTACGACGGGGGCACATTACGTCAAACTCTCTCTCCATGCTAGCAGAGAACCAGCAAGAATATTCTTGCGCGGGCAGGACGCGCCCGTCTACACTAGGAGGCCAATTGCGTGCTCTTCCTCCTGTCTGTGTGCTCCTCGTTGCTCGTGGTGCTGCCACCACCTCTACGTCATCGGTTGTCGCTGTTTCCGCGGTTCCGGCGCTCGCTCTCCTCTTCCCCCTTGCCTCGACCTGTTGTGTGTGACGGGCGGGTGTTGCTGATCACAAGCCGCGCAAACAAGCCCAACTTGGCTTTCCGACCATGCTGTCTCCCTCTTGTTGGTCCCGCGCCAACTCCAGGGCCGTTTCGCTGCCTTCTCGTTTGGCCGCGCGGACTGCTGTGTGTGCGTGGGTGTGGTGCTTGATTTGTTAAATCGAAGGATGCTGCTAATCGGAAAATCGTCAACGATTTTCTACAAAACGAGCCTTTCTCCGCTGTTAAATCTGATAATTTTTTCCATATCTTGGGTTCTGGCGAGACTGTCAGGAACGATCCTCAGAACGATGGCTTAAATCAAAATATGTTTCCATTTCGGAAAAAGTTTTGAGTCCGAAAGAGTCTATTGGCACTGGTCATTACAGAAGTGAGGCCGCCACACTTGTTTGTGCTTGTCATATGCTTTCTGATACCACACGGTTCTTTGCCCCAAGCAGCAAGCGCCAAAAAAGTATGCTATCATGCGGTCGGTGGGGCATAACCACCTCCGCCAATGGAACGAGCATATGCACACACCGACCACATTAGCGCGTGAAGGCTGCTGAGAACGCTGCTGTTGCCAAGGACTGACCATATCTTGCGGCATCATCGTAACATCTCCTTACCCCGAACGAGTCATGAATCGATGAGGAATATATTCCATGCGCAATACGAAGCAAAGGGCATGCATCACAGCAACAGAGTTTTTTTGTGGTGTGTTGTGCATGCCGCTGACGCTGTGCCTGATCGCCGCTTCTCTCACGAAATCTCATGTTGAAAATATATTTGACTATCTATCTAGAAGTCTAGACTCGACTAGACTCGACCCGATGCGAAACAGACGTGCAACACAAATATGTAGAGCACGCATATAGACTACTAACCCGAGAAACAAATCAATGTGCAGCTTTACCTAGTGCGGAATGTGTCCACTTTTTTTCGAGGAAATCGACATATTCCGTACAACAAACCGGCTTAGGATCAATTCTGTTGTTTGGTTGGGATTTGTTCTTCGAAATTTCCAGGTGCAAAAACTTTAGGGGGGCAATGAACAAATAGAAGCCAAAGGTTTCCGCTCAAGTTGGGTCTCCCACACATTCTATAATACAGTTTGGCTAAAACGCCCGTGTGCCCGCTTTGTTGCCCATGGTTGACCCATAGGCGTGCCCATGGGTAGCCCGTACGCAGATCATGGGCGGTCCATGGCAATCCATGGGAAGCCCATGGGCGGCCAATGATAGCCCTTCAACCGGAAACAGTGTACTATTAAACTATATTGTCTGCGTTGAAGCGGGCACTATCGCGGCCAATGACCCCACCTAACGCTAACCCTAACCCCAAGCCCAAGCCCACACGATACGTGCTAGCCTGGCGCTGATTGCAAAGGTTTAGGTTGATGTGCAGGTGGCTAAGTTCTTGGTTGATACGCCGTAAAGTTCTAGGTTCAAGTGCCCACGGTGGGCACTTCATGGGCACTTCATGGGCAGCCCATGGGCGGTCACTAAATTACCCATGGGTGGCCCATGGGTGACCCATAGGTGTTCCATGAGCGGTTTAGCAAAACTCTCAGTAGTAGGGAGATGGCCCAAGTTGATGAGAGGTAAAATAATGTCGACATCATAGAACTACGAAGGGGATACGTGGGTGAGAATAGATGATCTGCAACAATGGCTTGGAGAGAGCGCCCACTCGTGACAAGCCTCCCCAACCCTAACGAGGAAGCGTGCAGCGCGAATAACAGTAGACTATCATGCAGCTGAGCGCGACTCAGCTGGCCGCGGCCGCGTTGGCTCCTGCGGGGTAGGCCGTTACAGAGTTGGTGTGCTTCGACACGAGCTCGGCCATTGGGGCCCTCCCGACTCTGGCACTCGAGCGAGTCTGCACCAGCGAGGGCACTTCTCTGGAAGGGAAGGACAAGATTACTCTGTTCACCACGATGCTGCAATTGGTGCTGGCGCTGGGGCAGGGTACACAGGAGACGATGGAGGATTTCCTGCGCGGCGCGGAGACCCAGGAGCACGGATCGACAGGCGCGATAGCGGCCAGGAAAGTTTTCGGGGCGCGGGCATTCATGGGAGAGGTACTCGAGGTGCTGCGGGATTTCGTCAAAGAGACGGACACGTACGTGGTCCTGCCGGCTCTGCCATCGTCGGGCAAAGCCCCCGCTCGCGAGTCCGGGGCGGCTCCGCCGGCCCCAACTCCGGAGGCGACGGAGGCTCCCGCAGCGGCGGCGGCTGTCCCAGTAGCGGCCGCCGTTCCGGCGGCGGCGGCCCCAGCGGCAGCGGCAGCAGCCTCGGCATCCGCGGCATCCGCCTCCGCTGCGGCGCCCGCAATGGCGGGAGCGCCAAACTCGGCGATCGCAACAGCCCAGCAGCAGCAGGCAGCCAACCACCAGGTCATGATGTCGGCGGACGAAGCGTACATGAACGTGGTGCAAGCGGAATCAGGCTACGCGGAGGTGAGGGTTACGGTCCCCGTTGCTGACTGTCTCGCGGTGTGTTCTCGTCAACAAAAAAAAATAATTTTCGCCAAGTGTTCGCCCATTCTAATTCCAAGACGACCCTGATCCCGTCGGGGATCATCGACTTGTTTAAGTAATACGTACTTCCGCGCATTTGAGTAGGACTCCAATATGTCCGATCCTTCGCGTCAAAATTCCTTAGACGTTTTCGACGATCGCCATGCCTTTACCACCCCGGTCCCCGCCGAAATNGCAGCAGGCAGCCAACCACCAGGTCATGATGTCGGCGGACGAAGCGTACATGAACGTGGTGCAAGCGGAATCAGGCTACGCGGAGGTGAGGGTTACGGTCCCCGTTGCTGACTGTCTCGCGGTGTGTTCTCGTCAACAAAAAAAAATAATTTTCGCCAAGTGTTCGCCCATTCTAATTCCAAGACGACCCTGATCCCGTCGGGGATCATCGACTTGTTTAAGTAATACGTACTTCCGCGCATTTGAGTAGGACTCCAATATGTCCGATCCTTCGCGTCAAAATTCCTTAGACGTTTTCGACGATCGCCATGCCTTTACCACCCCGGTCCCCGCCGAAATTGCAACGGGAAGGTTTCATGTGCACTAGTATTATTGTCAGGTTCTTTGGATATCCCACGCGGGCCGGTGATACGAAGTAGGAAAGACGGTCGTAATTTCAAAGGAAATAACTGTCGGTGGTCTGGCAGTTGGGACTGCTGTACAGGGCGTACGATACAAGTTGTCACGGGCCGCGTATACGTGACATGGGATTTCTCTGCAAGTATTGACCGTCTACGCTTATCGCCTCGTGATGGGGCGTACCACTCATCGAGTGTTAAACGTGTGCGTGCTTCATTCTGGACATACTTTCAATGGATCGTGGCACCTCACGAAAATCACATGTCGGTGTACCTTTCCTCTATCTACCTTCGAAATAATTTCTTCGATACTGCGCCTTTCACATGCTGCAAACCGAGCACCATAGGCTTCATCGCTGCGATATAGGTCCACGAACAGTCAGAACAAGTGCAGGTTATTGCTGCCCCTCGAAACGACTGGTCGTCGGGAGGTTTGTAGACGTTCTTAACCTTTCGCGCGTACGCGGATAGGCAGATGCTTGTTCTCGAGCCATACGTTCCCCTTTGTTGACGATATTGCGATACGACTCGCTCGCGAGAGGTTTGGGGAGCCATTTCGCTGGCAGTCCTCGATGCCATGTGCCTCGGGATGAATGTTTCGAGCCGACTCGTCTCCGTCTCCGATACGATGAGCTTGCGATTGTTTTTGACGCCGCTCCGTGGGACGCCCCCGATGCGATGTGTTTCGGGATGCGTGCTTTCGAGCCATCCGTCTGTCTCGATTTACGGTGTCCTCGATACAACCCGATACGATGGACTTGCATTGCTTTTGACGCCGTTTCGTGGGACGCCCTCGATACGATGTGTTTTCGTGATGCGTGTTTTCAAGCCATCCGTCTGTTTCGATTTACGACGTCCTCGATAAAACCCTGTCCCGTCCTCGATACGAGGGGCGGGCGATGGCTTGGGACGCCATATTACCACCCCGGTCCCCGCCGAAATTGCAACGGGAAGGTTTCATGTGCACTAGTATTATTGTCAGGTTCTTTGGATATCCCACGCGGGCCGGTGATACGAAGTAGGAAAGACGGTCGTAATTTCAAAGGAAATAACTGTCGGTGGTCTGGCAGTTGGGACTGCTGTACAGGGCGTACGATACAAGTTGTCACGGGCCGCGTATACGTGACATGGGATTTCTCTGCAAGTATTGACCGTCTACGCGTATCGCCTCGAGATGGGGCGTACCACCCATCAAGTGTTTAACGTGTGCGTGCTTCATCCTGGACATACTTTCAATGGATCGTGGCACCTCACGAAAATCACATGTCGGCGTACCTTTCCTCTATCTACCTTCGAAATAATTTCTTCGATATTGCGCCTTTCACATGCTGCATACCGAGCACCATAGGCCTCAACGCTGCGATATAGGTCCACGAACAGTCAGAACAAGTGCAGGTTATTGCTGCCCCTCGAAACGACTGGTCGTCGGGAGGTTTGTAGACGTTCTTAACCTTTCGCGCGTACGCGGATAGGCAGATGCTTGTTCTCGAGCCATACGTTCCCCTTTGTTGACGATATTGCGATACGACTCGCTCGCGAGAGGTTTGGGGAGCCATTTCGCTGGCAGTCCTCGATGCCATGTGCCTCGGGATGAATGTTTCGAGCCGACTCGTCTCCGTCTCCGATACGATGAGCTTGCGATTGTTTTTGACGCCGCTCCGTGGGACGCCCCCGATGCGATGTGTTTCGGGATGCGTGCTTTCGAGCCATCCGTCTGTCTCGATTTACGGTGTCCTCGATACAACCCGATACGATGGACTTGCATTGCTTTTGACGCCGTTTCGTGGGACGCCCTCGATACGATGTGTTTTCGTGATGCGTGTTTTCAAGCCATCCGTCTGTTTCGATTTACGACGCCCTTGATACAACATACGATGCGTTTTCGGGATGCGTGCTTTCGAGCCATCCGTCTGTTTCGATTTACGACGTCCTCGATAAAACCCTGTCCCGTCCTCGATACGAGGGGCGGGCGATGGCTTGGGACGCCATGTCGTACGCCGTCCTCGATACGATGTGTTCGGGATGCGTGCTTTCGAGCCATCCGTTCGTTTTCAAATTACGATGTAGTAGCGAAACGTTTGGCCCCACGTCGTTAGCTGTCCTTGATGCGATCGCGGCTGACGACACGGCAGGGGCCGCCCTCGGTGCAATTTCGTTTTCCACTCAGGCGGGGGGGGCAGGGATGGGAGTACCGTCCCCCGGAGGATCCGCTAGCCACCAACAAATGCTAGCCGACGTGCGTAACCAACGCAACCTCGCCCTGCTGCAGAAGCAACTGGCGAACCCGGGGGTGCCCGGGCAGAGCGAGACGTGCCACAAGTGCCGGGCCGGCCACCGTGATCCGAACCACCCTCACCTCACATGTGCCTTTTGGATATGCGGCAATTGCAAGGAGGCAGGGCATCGCAGGGCGGCCTGTCAGAACCCGACCGTGCCGTGAACGAGCCGTAGCATACGCAACAGAAGGAGTTTGGGGGGGGACACGGTAGCAATTTATGAACGGGGGGGGGGATACTAGAGCGTTGCGCGCGGTTGGATTTGTTTCGCGGGTTCGAGATAGCGTTTCGTGTTCCGACAGGACGATGCGTGCGATACCCGTCAGACGACCATCTCCCACTCGTGGTTCGCATCATTTGTCAATGCATGTCAGTGTAACATTGGCGCAACATGAGCGCTGACCTACGCAGTGCGCTCCTTCGATCGCACGGGATCGAGAATAACACGAGAACACCAGGTGATATCCCCGCGGTGCGTTGTTCGATCGACTTTCGGCGAGAAATCAATCCATTCTACGACAGTGTAATCCTCTATCCTCATACATGACCTCATGATAATAATACGAACACCATCGATTCCCCGCGGGGGGCCTGGATCGCCCGCGCGCGAGAGTAACAAGAGAGTAGCATACAACGACCTCTGCCTTACGAGGGCATTGGCTGATATTTCTGACGCAGTTTAATCCTCCATCTTTGTAGACCGTGATTGACATTAGGGAGCAGAAATGCCCATGTATCACTGCAAAATAATCAGCCCGGAGCGTCGTTGTGTCTGCTCTCCTTGCGTCCGCCATGCATCTCGGTGGGTCCGTCTGGTCATAGTACATCGTAGCTACGTTTTCTTTTCCTACCACGGATCCTAGTTAACCCTTGTATCAACGAATCCCCTACCTTCCCGCAAAGCGGTACCCAATATCATAGAGTGAAACTACAGAAGTATACCGGCGAAACCTGTTCAACGTCCTACTACCTAGGTATCGGCTGATGATTGGCTGAAGAGCCTCGCGCAACGACATGCGCAAGTAAGAATTACGTTCCCCGACGTCCCCGACCTGTCCGACGAACAATGCGAATGGGCGGGGCCACGTTTGACGCCGAGAGTAGCCCGCGTGCCTACGATGGCAGAAGTAGAGCGGCCACCGAACGTGGACGGACACACCCGTCTGCCGTGGGACGCTCCGGTGAGAGACGCTGGCGAGAACGGGGAACACTTCGTACCGGGGGGGATTAACCACGACCGCGAAGTTTGGGACAAGGTTATCCTACGAGACCATTCCCAGCGCGATCAACTCATGTCATACATTCGGGACGGTGTCAGTGTCTTCGAATTCCTCCATGATGAGTACCGAGGGAAGTCACTTAAGGAACCATATCGCCCAGCAGCGTTTCCGGGGGCGGTATTCCCTAACCACATACCAGACGAACATACGGAATTCGTGCGGCGAGAGGTGCAAGCGCTGGAAAAGCGGGGATGTCTAGTTCGGTGGGAGGACGTCCGAGGACCGGAGGGGCCGGATAGACCGCGGTTGATCCTGTCGATTTTGGTGGAGCCAACCAAACCCCGAATGATAATAAACGGTATCACCCTCAATACCTGCTGCAAACACGTACCGTTTACGATGGACACGGTCTCACGGGTGGCACACGTCGCGGAAGAAGGGGTGTTCATGGGAAGATTAAACTACCGCGCGGGTTTCCATGATCTCTACTTGCAACCCGAGAGCTGGCCTCCATTCGGCGTACACTACGATGGAGTGGATTACGTCTGCAGCACCCTTCCGTTTGGGTGGAACGAGAGTCCATTCTGTTACCATTCTTTGAGCGAAGCCAAAGCCGCGTACCTGCGGTCCAAGGGCATCCCCGTCCTGGCGTATATCGATGACGCCTGGTACGCGAACTTCGTCGCTACCTTCAAGAAGTCGGATCGAGTACAGTGGCTGTCGGCGGCGGAAGCTCTACACACCGGCATCCTAGTATCGTACCGACGCGGATACTTTCTGTCCATCAATAAATGCGATCTCAACCCCTCACAACAACGGCGGTATCTCGGAGTTATCTGCGATTCCCATACCGCATCGTTCCGCATCGCGAAGGACAAGTTGCTCAAACTCCATCAGCTCATAGACCAAGTGCTTGTGAACGACTCCGTGCCCGTGCGCACACTCGACAAGATAGCCGGCAAGTGTGTCAGCATGTCGGTCGCGATTCGGCCGGCCTCTCTTTGGCCTCATTACATGTTCGCAGCGATCAGGAAGGCTAAGGGTCGGGCCATTCAGTTGAGGGACAAACACGACCTCCGCGCGGAGCTACGCATTTGGCTCACCCTGTCATCGACCGCTAAGGAGGTACCGTGGTACAAAGGAGACACTACGACGTTTCTCTCACCAGCGCTCCGTCAGATGCATCATCCAACCAATATGGTGGAGTAGAGTCGCTGCCGAGTGGCGCATTCTCCGCAGGCGGCGGCTTCCCCCACGAATGGCTGTCGCGTTCCATCAATGGCAAGGAGATGTTCGCGTTGCTCGAGGTGCTGAAGGAGTGTTGTAGCGCTCGCCCGGGCGAACTCAAGCGAGCACAAGTTTTGATGGACGTCGACAATAGAGCAGTCGTCGACGCGATTAGGAAGGGCAGATCGAGTAACCCCATCACACACTCGATGCTGATTAGCCTTTACGAGCTGCAAACGAACACGGATTTTGGCTCACATTGAGGTGGGTACCGTCAGCGGCGAATTGCGTCGCCGACGACCTCACACGACCAGCCCGGCACGAAATTATCCGACTTCGATCCCGTGTGTTTGAGCAGCTGCGCGCGTTTTTCGGAGAATTTACGGTCGATCTTATGGCGTCTTCCGAGAATGCTCAGTGTACCGATGCGGGGGGAGCCGGGGGCCCATCCCGTCTGCCGTTTTTCTCACGGTATCACTGCGAAGGCACGGCCGGAGTGGACGTCTTTAGCCAGGATGTAGCAATAACACCGGGGCTGGGCACGCCGGCCTTCGGGTATTGTTTCCCGCCGCCTGTCATGGCGGGGCACATTATTCAACATCTGTCCGAGTGTCGAGCTCACGCAGTAGTACTAGTGCCAGATGTACGAGATTTTTGGTGGCCGCGGGCCGCACGGGCCGCCGTCAAATCGATAGTGTTGCCGAGCACGGGGAGTTTTGGATACCCCCACCATCAGGACGGCGTTCGCGATTACACCTATGTACGACACGGAATGCGCGCGGTGGAGTTGGATTTTCGCGATACATGATACGGTGATTATCGTCGCCCCTCTCCTTGTTCGTGCTCGCCTCGCCGTGCCTGCACTATCGCCAGCATTATGCGACGGGGATCCTCGAGCGGGTCCCCTCCGGATCCTCCACGCGAGTACAGGACCGGATACCGCAAGTATTGTGTAGTACGTGTGGGGCCCAGAACGATGCCACATTCAACTTCTGCCAACACTGTGGTACTCCACCGTTTCGGGGGCTTTTAGAACCTCGAGCGCCCGGGGCGACCGCGGTCATCGATAAAACCCGATTGGCCGAGCGGAAAGAGACCGTCGTAGCATCGTTGAGTAGTAAGGCCAGTCAGCAACGCAAATGCGCGGTGGCGGACAAGTTTGACGCATTTCTCCGAGCGCACACGAACGGGATGCGAGGATGGGAAAGTGCTACTGATGTCGACGTGCAGGATTGGTTCGGCTGGCTAGATTCTCATGGTAACGGTACGAAGGTGGTTCATGCGGTAGACTGCGCCCAGATCGGGTCCAAATCAATGGCAACGTGCAGCAAGGAGAGTACCTGCGCGAAACGGAACGCTGCTCAAACACTAGACATGACGTTTGTGTCGAAACTCAAGTGTGCGATGTCTGAGATTTTGGGGAAGTCGGACCCATGGGATGAGCGTGAGAAGAGAGGTAACGCAGCCGACAGCACGGCGGTTCGGAAGTACCTGTCGTGGGTTCAAGAAGAACAGCGCAGGGTGGGGGTTACCGTCAAGCAAGCCCGACCGATGCTAGCCCCGCTACTGCTGCGTCTTGTGCGATACATACGCAATACCGCGAGCCACTTGTACACGGTGGGCGAGCGGGTGGCCCGTAGCCGAGACATCGCGTTGTTCGTCACCGCCTTTCACACGATGCAAAGAGGATTCGATTTGGCATGCGCGTTGGCGGCACAGGTCTTGCACCTTCCTGATGGGACGGGGATGATTTTCGATTTCCATTTCGGCAAGACTCTCCGAAGCTCGTCGCACGCGGTAGTAGTTCGACGAGATCGTCAATGTACCGAGCTATGCCCGTTGCGGGCGATACAAGAGTTTTGCATCGCAGCCAAGTCAGCAGGATGGAGCATGCATGAGGGGTACCTATTCCCCGAGGTCAACGCCGACGGCTCGCGGGGGTCGTCACAGTGGTCGGCGGCGCGTATGACCGCCTCGCTACAAGCTCATGTTCGGAACGGCCGCCTTGGCGACGTAGGTGGTCAGTATACCATGCACTCGTTTCGGGTAGGAGGAGCGGTAAGCCAAACGCTAGCGGGGACGGCGGTAGACGACCTCAAGGATTTTTTGGGATGGAAGACGCGAGGGGTTGCACAGCGATATGTAGGACCCACTACCCAAGGGGGAGAGGCCGTCGTTAAGCGAAGGCGAGCTCAGAGTCAACAGGAGCAGGAACGGTTGTACACGGAGACCGTCAACCTCCCGTTGCAGGAAGGCTTTGCGGAACGCTTTTCGGCTTTCGGATGACAAAGCCATGAGTTACGGTAGCGGGGTCGTCGATGGAAAAGTATGGGGATCAATTAAAGCCACGACACGACAGGGAATAATGACACAGGTGGAAACATGAAGTATGGGTGGGTCCCATGCCGTGGCAGGAGGCCTCATTTCATCCCAAACTCTACATCGTCGACAACTATTCCGCAGTAAATAATGTCGAAATCATGGAACCACGAAGGGGTTACGTGGGTGAGAACAGATGATCTGCAATAAAGGCTTGAAGAGAGCGCCCACTCGTGACAAGCCTCCCCAACCCTAACGGAGGAAAAGTACGGTAAGAATAACAGTCGTCCCACCCGCCCAACTATGCTGTATTTGATTTTGTTAACTGGGGTAATTACTCTCTGCGCGACTGCCGCGTTGACGACACGAGGGACGCGTCAATGCGGGGGTAGTCGCCCTGGGTGGAGTCTCCAGAATTTTCGTCGGAGGAGGCCTCATTTCATCCCAAACTCTACATCGTCGACAACTATTCCGCAGTACTTTCTGCAGTTTGTACCGAAACCAACCTCGGCAAGACCGAAGGTAAAATTCATGCAACGATGCAACCAATGAAAGCGGTGACCATGTGCTTTTGCGTCGCCGGGAGGAAAGCGCACCTACCTCCCAGGGGAGCCTTGCAATATGTGGTATACCCTTTGACTTTGTCCCTCGCTCGCCGTGCCCAAGGCTTCGATGGCGGCGACTGCTGCGAGTGCACCTGCGAGGATGGAGAA